TAGGGTAACGAAATGGTCTTTTAGCTCAGTCTTAGACTGCATCCCATCCACCATTGTGTGCTTGTTTCATTCTTCCCAACTGTCAGAAGCTGGCATTTTCTTCCACCAGAGATAGGGCTTCAGTCTCTCCGGGCAGCTTCAACACTGCACACCTGCATCAACAACAGTTGTGACATTAAAAACAAACAAAGTATCGATATAGCAAGTGAAACCAACTGAGAAAAATAAATTCAAATATGCTGTTCATGATCTACGCAAAAGATAAAACTCAACCATGTACAATTAAAGACCGAATCAAAACATAGACGACAGTTCAAATAGATTGGTAAACACTTCATGAACACATTGAGTAAAGCAACTCCACACAAGAGGTAAGCAAACCAAGCTCCCAACAGCATGATACCAAGAATCTTCTATTTTGACATCCTAGAAAACATGACAAGAAAAACCTATTAAGTCTCGGAAGGTAAAAGAATAATGCAAAGCGATCCTTACCTTGAATTGATATTCAGTATTTCTACATCCTTCCCCACCAGAATATCCTTGAGCGAAATAAAGCTCGGAACATGACTAATTGCCTCAGTAGATGAATATTTGATCTCTCGAAGCTTAAGATAAATGAATGGACTGTGGTTTCCTGGGTGATGGTAAAAGAAGGCATTGAGACGAGAATTAAACATCAACAGACCATCATTCTCAAAGTATTTCATGGGTATGTATACGCCACGTGGCCACCATTGAGAAAAACCAGTACGAATCGAAATCTTCTTCATCCAAAGTTTTTGTGGACCAGAATCATTCATTACCCACACATTGATTTCAAAACTCTCAACTTTACACAGACAAAGACTACCTCCCAAATCTCCCATGCTCACATCACGACCATCCTCCTGTCCAGAAGGCACTGATGGAACCGATAGGAACTCTTCAGTATCCAAGTCAAATGAAATCACACTACAACATGACCAGTCATAGGAAAACCAATAAAGCATTCCTTTCACACAAGTGGGGAATGATAGCTCAGAGTCTGAGCAGCGAGCAGTGCCAACAGATTTCCATGAACCTGTTCCCAGGGTGTGTATCTCAGCCACCTTATTGGTATCAGGTGTCTGTTCCTTAAGAATTCTCATAACCTTATATTCGTTAGTCCTCGGACTGAAACCTAATCCACTACCGATTAAAATCATTGCCTTCTCATGTTTAGGACCACGGGGAAGGTTTATAAATTCGCCGGTTATTGGATTGCACACAGCAGCAGGGTTATTCCCAAAAAAATAAGACAGGCAAAGCAAACCGTTACAAGAATTCACCAAGTTGTAGTTGTTGTGATCATAATGCATCATGTAAGCAGTAGCGTCACCGAAATCCACCTCGTTGTTGTTGTCATCAATTTGCGTTATCTTCATGTGAACCTTTCTTGTAGTTTCATGACTAGGCATCACATTGCCATTCCTATGGTAATTGAGTAACTCCTCAGCATCACACAATGGGAATTTATATTTGGAAAGATTCATGTGGACACGAGACCGGTTACAATCATGGTCCTTCAAATCAAAACCAGAGCTATCTTCAGGCTCAACCAAGTAAAGGTTTCTTGACACGCTTCTTCGATCCACGGGCCGGACCATAGGATAGGCCTCTGCTTGTGCGAAATGCAGCTTAGCAAATGCAGGGTCCGAAATCAGAGAATACCAAGTCTTGCAGACGCTTTTGCACATGATAATGCTCTTTGTTGGCAGCTTTATTATAACATCTTGAAGGACAGACTTTGGAACATCTGTTATAGAAGGACCCATTTCTGTGTTTCGTATTTGGGTGCCTGAAGCTGTGGATTTTGATGTAGGGATAGGGTTTAGGTCGTTTAGTGGTAGCGAAAACAATGAAAAAACAGAAAATAGACGGATAAAGATGCAATGGCTTCACACCAAGAATTCTCCAATCTCTTCAAAATAAACTTTACTCAATAACTCAAATCTCCAATCTCTATTACATAGGAGGAGGGGGGGTGTATTTATAACAATCTAACCCTAGAGCGAAAAGAAAATTAAACTTATTCTAGGAAAGAAATCCAGAAAGTAAAGAAAATTTAGGAAACAAGTTAGAAAAGCAGTAATCATCTACTGCTCCAAATTTGCAGGATTTAAACAAGGAATTAAGTAATTTCCTCTTCCATCTCTCTAACGGGTTTGACAAAGATTTCCTCATCAGATTTTCTTTTCCTCTTCGTGAATAGAAATAAAAAATAAAATAAAAGGGTTAGAATCCAAAATCACTACCGGCCTAATTAAAAAAGGATTGAAGTGGAAAAAGAACCATTTACATGTTTTTCCTATTACTAGTAGTAATTTACTACCAAGTTTCAGCGTAAATCATATGCGAGTGAAGGCAAAAGAGGGCTCTGCGACTAATATACGCGAGGGTTCAACTTGGGCGGAAGAGAGGGCTCTGCTTGCTTCGCATGGGTCATGAAACGGTGAGCATGGGTGAGAGAGGGGATTTTTTATACACGGTGTCGTTTTGGTTATTTTGAAAGGTACCCAACGCCCCCCTTTGTTCTTAATTTCCTTCCCACCATATCCTAAAAACGAAATGTATTTTTTTAAAAAAGGGAGGCCAATTTCCTTTCTTCTTTTTTTTTTTCCTGAAGATAGCGAAAATATATTTTTTGGTTTTCCTATCAAAGCTAGACATAATAAAGATGGATTGATTTTGTTATCGCCCCTTTCATTAGGAAAGGTACTATATATTTTTTGGTTTTCCTATCAAAGCTAGACATAATAAAGATGGATTGATTTTGTTATCGCCCCTTTCATTAGGAAAGGTACTTAAAAAAAAGTGTTAATGGAAAAAAAGGAAACAAAACTTTCCCATTGTGCCAAGGAATTGAGTTTCCCATTGTGCCAAGGAATAATTTTAAATTTCAACAGTTTGACAATTCCCTTAACAAACAGGTCTCTATCTATTTATATATATAGGAGGATCAGAACCTTACAACATACAAAATACAACAAATTGACAAAGATAATGAGGGAAGCAATGCCTAGGATGATGATGCTTTCACTTGTTCTTCTCCTGGTTTTTCATGTTTCTGCTTCATGGGCAGCCTCAACTTCTGTCTATGACAACTTTCTTCAATGCCTAAACACCAACACAAACCCATCATCAACCCAATTGTCTAACATAATCTATGCCGAAAACAACCCTTCATACTCATCTGTTCTCAGAGCCTACATCAGAAACTCAAGGTTCAACACCACTTCAACCCCAAAACCAGTCCTCATCGTCACACCCTCAGCTTCATCTCATGTTCAAGCTTCTGTTGTCTGTGCCAAACAGCTCGGCATACAGCTGAGAATCCGAAGTGGCGGGCACGATTATGAGGGCCTTTCTTACTGGTCTGATCAGACCTTTATTGTCCTTGACATGTTCAACCTTAGGACTGTGACTGTAGACATTGAGGACAGCTCGGTTTGGGTTCAGGCTGGAGCCACACTTGGAGAATTGTACTATAGGATTTCAGAGAAGAGCAAAGTTCATGGCTTTCCTGCTGGTGTTTGTCCCACAGTTGGTATTGGTGGGCACATAAGTGGTGGTGGCTATGGAAACATGTTGAGGAAGTTTGGCCTTGCTGTTGACAATGTCCTTGATGCTCAGATTGTTGATGCTAAGGGGAGACTTCTTGATAGAAAAGCCATGGGAGAAGACCTGTTTTGGGCCATTAAAGGCGGGGGTGGAGGAAGCTTTGGTGTCATTGTTGCATACAAATTGAAGCTGGTTTCTGTCCCTGAAACTGTCACAGTTTTCCAGGCTGCGAGAACATTGGAAGAGAATGCGACCGATGTTGTTTCGAGGTGGCAAGAGGTGGCGCCAACCACAGATGACGGTCTGTTTATGAGGCTGCTGTTGCAGCCAGGGAGCAACACTGTTAAGGCCACAATTATGGCTGAGTTTCTAGGCAATGCTGACCAACTTGTGTCATTGTTGGGGAAGCAGTTTCCTGAGTTAGGTTTGAAGAAGGATGACTGTAAGGAGATGAGCTGGATTGAGTCTGTGCTTTGGTGGGCTAACTATGATAATGGGACCTCCCCTGATGTGTTGCTTGACAGAAATCCTGATCATGCAAATTTCCTGAAAAGAAAGTCTGATTATGTTCAAACCCCAATTTCCAAAAGTAGGTTGGAGTTAGTGTGGAAGAAGATGATTGAAATAGGCAAAATAGGTTTGGTTTTCAATCCATATGGTGGGATGATGAGTCGGATTCCGGCCTCTGCCACTCCTTTTCCACACCGTGCTGGGAACTTGTTCAAAGTTCAGTACTCAGTGAGCTGGGGGGAAGCAGGGGCTGAAGCAGAGAAGAATTATACCACAGACACCAGGAGGCTTTTCAGGTTCATGACCCCATTTGTGTCCAAGAACCCAAGGAGTGCTTTCTTGAATTACAGGGACCTTGACATTGGTGTCAATAAATTTGGTAATAGAAGCTATGAACAGGGGAAGGTGTATGGCTTGAAGTACTTCAATGACAATTTTGATAGGTTGGTGAAGGTGAAGACTGCTGTTGATCCAGCAAATTTCTTCAGGAACGAGCAGAGTATCCCCCCTCATCCAACTTTCAAGTCAGACCCTCCTCATCCAATCTTGCACTTAGATGTGAATGGTGGCTCGAGCTCCAAGCTATCAATGGGGAAGCTGAAGCTAGTACTGGCTCTACTGGTGTTCTTGTTTATTTCTTTTTAACTTTGTATTACTTGGGTTTTTTTTTCGAGCTTTTAGTATTTGGAAATTTAATTTATTTTTTTACATGCACCTTCATCTTACTTCTCCAAGATACAAATCAAAAGATACTTGAGAAACAAGAAAGTGAAAAAATCTGTACCCTAGAGAAAAGATAGGGTATAATTCACAGGGAAAGTTTCTACGTCTAACAACAAAGCTCACTTTGCCTCTGACCAAGACTTCTTCACCTTGAACCGTCAGCACCAATACGATGACAATCCGTATTATAAAAAATGACTTGTGAACAAACAAGCATGGGGCATAGCTTAACCTTCAGTGACTCCACCCCACTCTCTTACAAACAATTTGAAAGGAACAAGAGTATATAAACCCAGGGAGACCATGATTATAGATTCCAGTGAAGCTATCTGCATGTGTTTTGTGATATTTTCAAAGCATTGGTAGCCTTTGTAGGTCACATTACAATGACAAGGGTTTGTCCTTTTTTTCTGGTGAAATCCTATCATGGACCAACAATGCCAGAGGCCCAAGGAACAAGAAGTGGTGCAGATGGATGGGAGTTTCTGTATGATTCAGGATACTTGTCCTTAAAATTGAGTTTCAGCGTTTCTGCCTGCATTTTGATAATTGAAAGCAAGAAATATTAGACCGGATTGGATCCACATAATTGAGACTCATCTAGTTGAAACTCAGATTAAAGGAAAAAGTAATGAATGTGTCAATCGTAGTAAAGAGGTTTAATTCTTACGTATTTCAGCCAGCACTGTCCAAGTCTATGCTCATAGATATCTGGAGAATGGCAAATGCTTTCAAACAGGCAGTATAGCCATATATTACATCTCTTTTCATTAGGCTTGGCACGTTTACCTTGATCCAAGCTCACCCTAACCGGTGAAAAGCTAAAGCTAAGGCTTGTATCTTAATTTAGAGATCCTTCATAATCTGTATGAACTTCCGCATGGCATTCAGGTGGAGGCGGCACCGCCAGGCAAAATTTGATCTTCTAGAGAGAAAAAAGGAATATATACATCAACATATGGAATAAGTCTCTAACAGAACAATAATAACAATAATAATAAATCTCTCAACACTAGCAGATAAGTATGCTCTCAATATTGACCCCACTAAAGCCGCATGATACAATATTTCCTAAGCTTTCAGAGTTTGTCGTCAATGTCGAGAAATTTAGTTTCAGATATCATACACTAAAACTCAATAGAGAAGAAAACATAAATTCATAATCTTATCAACTTCAAGGACAGATTTGTCAGTCACTGTAAGATGCTCTGTGGTTTAAATGGGGTATGCACAATTGCATGACGATTAACTATTCTAGTGCAAAACAAAAACTGCCTTGAAATACAGAAAACAAAAGAAGATAAGCTAAAGAAATCAAATTGCGGCGCACTGACCTCTCTCCTCAGTAACATTTGCTTTGGGCCTCAAGGTTTTCAACCTCTCAACTATCTCATTGGTTATCTTCAGTTTCAAAGGCTGTGGCAATTCAACCACTACCTCTCTGCAAAGCTCCTTCTTTATTGCCTTTACCTTTTGAGCATAAGAAAGAATCCTCCGTTAAATTAAAAAAGTTACAACAAATCGCTCTACCACTTCAATCCAACAGATGTACCACCAAAACACTCAAAATGCATCTTACCAATCGAATGAGCTCAACCGGTTCAGCTGTTTTTCGAATCCAAACTGATTCCTCCATTCTCCTAATCTGATTCGGAGTGTACCCAAGAGCTGAACCAATATATTAACAGAACATTTCCTTAATTAAACAAGCATTCAACATTGAGAAACATCATCATTTGCAACTGGGTTATCAGAAAAACACCTCAAAAAGCTAGTGGGCCATTCAAAGCAACAAGATTTGAACAAAGCTTATAAATTCACAAGCTAGCGAGATATATATATATATATAGAAAGAAAGAAAGAGACATACTGGGATGTGAATCTCTATTGCAGTAGATGTACAGAGAAGCGTATTGAGAACGAAGAACATGTAGAGCAACAACAATGTTAATGGTGGAAACAATGAGAGTGGTTATTGTACGAACAGGCCCCATCTACATTTAAATCCCCATTCTCCTACCATAAAGAGCCATTCCTTCATCTCATCATATATCCACCTTCCTCTTCACAGATCGATCATCACCAGAGACAAATCAAAACCCAAAAGCCCCAAGATGCTTTTGGGTGAACTGCACACGGAAAATTCCTTTAAGCTTCCAAAACCCACCTGACACGTTAATTTGGCACTTTGCCTTGCATTCGGAAAATTCCTTTAAGCTCCCAAGTGCTACATTTCACAGGTCAAAGCTAAATGGCAGCGGCCGCCACTGGGGGCTGTAAAAATCAGTGCGGATGGGGTTGTTCAAGCTGCATCATGTCTTGGTGGGATTGGGTTTATGGCTCAAAACCATGCAGGCTCTTTTCTTGCTTGCAAGTTGGTAGTGCTCAATGGTATCTCAAATTCCGTGCATGCCAAGTTACTGGCAGTAAGAGAAGGCTTATTCTTTGCTGCCAACCAGCTAATTTGTCCCACCTAGGATGCTTAATTGAAGACTGTAAAACACTATTGGTTAAGGCATGCAGGGAGGGCTGCTAATGGGCACCTTGTTAAGGCATCCAGATTTCCTTCAGGATGTTCTGCTAGTTGATACTTTGTAATTTGTTTTTGGATTTGTACTTCTTTGGCACATATGGTACTGTTTCCTACCCCGGGGTTTTTCCCTTGTGTTTTTCTCCGACAAGATTTTAAAGAGGCCACGCAAAACAGGCCCCATGTTACCGCTTTCTATTGGAATGAAATCTACCTTATTCTCAAAATAAATAAACAAATCTAGCTACAATAGGAAAATCTTAATTGAAAAAGAAAATGTATACCACCTAACCGACTAAAATCAGGAATTATCCTACATAATTTGAACCGCCAAAATATAAGTCCAAAGTAAAGGAAGATTTCAAATAACAGCTATAAACTTTTTCCAAAGCTGCAGTTATAACATTTTCAATGAAAAGAATAACCCTGACTAATTGAAGTAACAACTAATGAGTTACAATATAACATTCCTATAGAGAGAATGTCAACTTGCAGTAATAGTCAGTCATTTCTTTGTTTCCACTAAGGACTGAAGATAAGAAACATTATGAAAATATCAAGAAATACTGATCAAATCTAGTGTGAATACCAATTTAGCAGCTCAACTCAAAGTAAATATTTTTGGATGTGCCAACTTTGTAAGATTTGTTAACCCAGAAAACCCATCAAGGGAAAAACTGGGGGACCAAGCCAGCAAGAGAAAGTCCACTATCAATATGAAGTAAGTTAATACTTGGAACAGTGTTTTCAAGCAGATATTTGTGATTAAAATTTGTTAACATTTGTACATTAAAAATTCTCTTTTAAAGTTGGCCCAAGTGTCACTCAATTTACAAACTTGAATAATGACATAACAAAACCGGCCTTGCACTGGTTCTCTCTCTTCTCCTCTACTTCTCGTCAAGTCCTTTCCACTGCTTCACTAACTTAACTGGTAATTTCGCACTCCCATCCCAACCCAGGCCTCTCATCATCCTCCATAAATGCACCCAACTGCAGACAAATAAGATTTTCGCAATAGGGGTTGCCAAATAAGACTTGCCCATGCTATCCTCACTATTCCATTATCAATGGAAGATACTCTCTCTTAAAATTCTGCATCCTTCCCTCTATCAGTTCTACACACATTGCCGCTATCGCTTCCATAGAAGAAATACAGATGGCTTCTCAGTTCCATTTAAAAAATTACACCAATCTTTATTTTTTCACCACGGGCTAAACTCATACCACTACACCAAGTACCATATCATACTTGTACCAGTACGTCAGATTTTACACCAATATAATCTGAGGATCTGGATAATAAGGGTCAAAACTCCAAGGGACCTGCCTCAGTTGCCTTTGATGAGGAGGAGAGAATGCCATCAAGACAAATGCAAGCATCTCTAAGTTTCTCTATGTCAATGTTTATAACTTGTAGAAGATTATATCTAGACGAAGACTATACAAGAAACATCCAGTTAGCTCCTCTAATTGAGTTTAACTAATTATTAGTGGGGGAGTGTATTTCAATTACGAATACGGGCAAAGCTATAATTTGAATATCCCCTGCCTGTTTACCCTTTATTAGTCTCTTCTTTGCATAAATGGAAAAGGAGGTATTGTTTGCTTAAAATTATTAAATAAACAAAATAACATACCACAGTCAATAACCCCTAATTTGATCCCTAAAATAGAAAGAAATAGGATCCTATGTTTATGTTTTGGGTGCTTGTCTTATTGTTTTTATATCCAACCTATTTAGTGCTTTTAAGAGTTAAACATTCTGAGTTTAGGGTTTAGTATTTACAGTTTATGCTGGGAAAATAATTAAATACAAATCTATCAGGACATAACTTTAGATACCCAAAACATGAGGCACTGGATAGCAATAAGGAAACAGAATCTTCCAGCAATTACTGTAATGAATATTGTGTCTGCCTGGAGTAATTTATTTCTGTTTGAGGGATATATGGCCTAGATAATTTAATCTCTTTAAATTTCAAAATCAACGAAGCTATAGATGATAAGAACACCTAATAAGCCAAGTCTTATTTTGTGTCCTTCCATGGACATGACCACTAATATTCTGATCCAAAACTATTATAGAAAATAAAAATACATCAAAAATAAAAAAGTAACTTACAACAATGCATTAGCTGGTAACTTTAGGTTAGAGGGGAAGCAAGGTTCAGGGTATTTGACTCAAAAACTCAAAAACTCAAACCCTCCAGATGTAGGTTGAAAGTTGCCACTCCATGAGAAGTTATTTAGCCCACTGTAAGGCTGCATTATTGCCACCGGTAGAATCCCTGTTTCATTCTAAATTCCTTAAAAGAACGATCATCTGATGCTATGTCTGCATCCAAATTCACCAAATCAAGACCTCTAGTCTCTCCGGGAAGCTTGCACTCTGCACACCTGCATCAACATTTCTGACATTTAAGGTACAATACTCAAATTTTATAAGGCCATTCAGGGAAAAACAAAATGGAAAGAAGCAATGGTTGCTATTATTATTCTCTTTTCAGGTTTAGTGCTGTATAAACACCAGTATGTGCAACGTTGGCATTTTGTCATTGCAGCAACTCCTGTACAGAACTTTTTTTATATGGGCAAAATGCAAACTGAGTGGTAAGATGATATTGTCTCTTAATGGCTTAACTATGAAAAAATTGTGCAACATCTTGCCCTGCTTCTACAGCAACAACGGGATACGTGAAAGCAATCTCAACAGCATATATATGAATACAACACAGTGAACCCTACTTCCTCAAACGTCCGTTTCATGCATATAAGGACCAACATTTTTAAAATGACAAATGCTGTTTTAAATAAAAGATTAAACTGTGTCATTAATTAAGAGAGAGAGAGACAGAGAGAGAGAGAGATGAAGTATTGAATTCCAACCAAACAGAAAAAATAGGACCAACGCTTAAGAAATTCGCGTGCATGTGCATGTGTCTGCAATTTACATGTGCCAATAAAGTAGAAACACTTGGCCATTCTCTAACCAACAAAGAATAAAATTCAATTCATGTACGATTGAAGACTGAATCCAAAACATCAACGACATAGTTCAAACAGCTCCGGAAATAAATTACAAATATGCTGAAATACTTATGAATCTTTGGATCATAACAGCAAACAAACTCATCCACACATGAATTCTTCTGATGTTCAGCAATATTTAAGATACAACTCTTCATAAGAGGTAACTAGGGCATGCTGAACCAAAAAGGAAAAGGAAAAGGAAAAACCAACGACCACAAATCCAGCAAATCCACATTAAGTTAACCATTCGAAGGTAAAATATATTGAAACCATAACAACCATACCTTGAATTTATATTGAGTACTTCTACATCATTGCCCATCAAAATGTCCTTGAGAGAAATGAAGCTTGGAACATGACTAATTGCTTCAAAATATGGACTAAACCCACGAAGCTTAAGATAAATTAACGATCTGTAGTTTCTTGGGTGATAGTAAATCAAGGTGACAGTAGAATGGTTAAACATCAACAAACCCCCATTTTTTAAGTATCTCATTGGTTCATATAAACCATTTGGCCACCACACACCATCATCAGTCTTAATAGAAAATCTATTGGTCCAAGATTTTTGTGTACCGTAATCTTCCATTACCCACACATTGATACAATTCTCATGAGCATAGCATACACAAAGAGAACCTCCCAAAAGTCCCAAGCTCACATGCTGACATTCCTCCAGTTCAAAAGGAGGTGTTGGAACTGAGTGAAATTGCTCATTGTCAAAGTCAAAAGAAGCTATCTCATATGAACTCTCATAGTAAAACCAATAAAGCTCTCCATTAAGATAGGTGGGCAATGTCAATAGCATATATGCTGCTGACGTGGGAGCAGTACCAAGAGATTTCCATGAACGCTGCCCAAGTGTGTACAACTCAACCATCCGAACTAGATTGGGTGTTCCTTGACTAAAGACTCTCAACACCTTATATTGGTTAGTCTTCGGACTGTAACCTAATGCACAGCGTATGGATAATCTCTCTTGACTCTCATCCTTGGAAGATTCAGGAAGTTGTAAAAATTCACCCGTTATTGGATTGCACACAACAAGAGGATCGTTGTAGAATGTTTCAGCCAAGAAAAGCAAGCCATTACACGAATTCACATACATGTATTTGTGATCCAATGGCTCCAACTTAATGCAAGGTTTCCTTTTAGTTCTACCTTTCCTATTACGCATTGCATGGATGGCTTGGTCAGCATTCCGCAAAGGGATCTTGAATTTGCAAAAATTCATTCGGAGGTGAAAGTGGATACACTCCGATGTGCCACCATCACCGACAAAGTCCTTCAAGTCAAAATCAGACTTCTCTTCCGGCTCAAGCAAGTAAACGGTCCTTGACACGCGTGTTGGGGCGGAGGGTCTGACCAAAGGACAGGCCTCAGCTTGTGCAAGGTGCAGCTTAGCAAATTCAGGGTCTGAAATCAGAGAATACCAAGCCTTGCAGACACGTTTGCACATGATAATGCTCCTTATCGGCAGCTTTGTTAGAACATCTTGAAGTACAGACTTTGGAAGATCTGATATAAAAGGACCCATTTCTTGAATTTGTTGAATTTGTTTTCCTTTGATTCCTATTTCGATGGCCTTAGCTGTTGATTTTCTTTTCCTTGTCATGGCTAATATATGAATCTATGGCAGAAATGCACAAAAATAAATAAATAAATAAAATAAAATGTTTCAGAAGCCATAATTAACCCACTTTAATTTGAATCCAATTGAAGAACGACATGATTAAATAATTTTGAATAAAAAAACACACAAAGTAGAACAAAATATTAAGAAGGTAAATACAGAAACAAAGGTTTAAAAGGATTTGGAATGAGAGTATTTATCACCTTGAAGATTAAGCCCTAGTTGCAGTTGCAGTTGCAGATGCAGGGAGAGAGATGAAAACCCTAACCTCTAATAGGGGAGAGAGCCAATTACTTTCGACTACTTTGAGGTTTCTGCTTGGGTGAATACTCGAAGATCGCTACCTCAAAAACGAGTGAAGAGGAAGATCGCTACCTCAAAAACGGGTGAAGAAGAAGATCACTACCAATCTTCCATTTCCATGAACAGAAAGTTGAGTTTGAATTGGCACAAGGAAGGAGAAAGGAGAACGGTTTTTCGCAGGAACTCAGGGCATCAGTTATAAGCTATGAGTTCAGTGAGTGCCTGATACCACAACCTGGCACAATGCACGCGTGGCTCCTCTTCAAGTTTACAAGTGTCTTCTCTTTAATTATTTAAAAATCCCTTTTTTTTTTTTTGGTATAGCTGATACCAAACAAAAAAAAATTCTTTTCAAATTTGTTCAAATTTATTTATTTTCCCGGTTACGATTTTTTGGTTCAATTTTGTGTATACCCTGAAAAATAAAATCAGGCCCAAACATTTTGAAGTGGACATAAATAATTACGAGCTTCTTTTAATTTAGAATTAAAAAAGATAATGGGTAGTTGTGAGCTATAAAAATAAGATCTATTATCTGATTTTTCTTTTAATTTTAATTTTTTTTAATATGAAAAGGTGTGAATTTACCATATTATCCTCATTTAATTAATAATTTCAATTCTTGTTTGTATTAACTGAAGGCATTTTCTGGTATTTTGAATGTTTTACCATTCTATGCTTTTTGCTTTATATATATATATATTCCAATTTTGTTATTTCCTAGAAATTACTATGTTATTGATGTCCATGGCCCTTTATGTTTTATTTTTATTTTCTAGCGTAATCCAATGACAACTTATGTGGAAACAATAAAGTTAGCCTAGTTTTAGAACATTTGGAAGGAAAAAAAAAAACCTTATCTTTTTAGAAGAAAATGAAAAATATTAATAAAGCTTCATGGGCTTCTAATGAATCATATCAACCAAAATATGAATCTCAAGTGATGCTAGAGTCTTTCTAAGTTTCCCTCACATGATTGTAATAGAAGAATTATGATTCTTTGACGGCGTAGTATAATGAAGATGACAAGAAAAACAAAAGTACGTAGGGAAATGTGACAGACATGGAAGAACAACAACCGCTGCAACCATCATGAAAGAGAATGTCGTCATGAGAGAGAGAGAGAGAGAGAGAGAGAGAGCTTACTTACTATAAAACTCTAGGTTATAGATACGCGAGGCTTGAATGGATTTGGAAAATTCATAGGAGGTGTATTTTATTGAATACAGCTCGTATAAATCCAAATTGAAGGCACCCGAATTTTTAAAATCTTTTTAAAGTCTCTAGAATCCTAATTGTATTAACTTTTAAAAAGTCCATACAAATATGGGTGTATTCAATTAGGATTATAAAAAAGTTCAATAAAATCTAGATGTATTCAAAAATTCATATATTTGGATGGATTTCATTGAGTGATAAATTTTGGTAGGTTTTAAAGTGAGAGGTATAAATAACAAAGACCATAATAAATACAACCTCCCCCCAAAGATTTCATCATATGCTAGTTTTTCTCTCTACATATGCCCTAGCTTTTCTCTCTACAGAAGACGAACAGTTTCCTCCATCTGTGAAGGTACGCTCCCTATCTTTTCTTTGATCAATACTCGTTGGGTTTTCTTTTTCCATGATTTTTCTTCATCGTATATTTTTCTTGTTATTAGGGTATAGTTTGGGGTTACATGTTTTGCTTGTTATTAGGGTTTAGCTTGGGGTTAAGGTTTATGCTTGTTACTAGGGTTTATGCTTGTTTTACTTCTCAAATATCTATCACTACCAAAAAAAAAAACACTATGTACTGATCTAGATTTGTCCCCTAAGTTAAATTTTGAGACAATAAATTGTTTCCATTAACCAAAAGAGACTATGCAGCCACTATTTTTAAATCAGTATCCTAGTTTGGGTACCATTTATTGAGTCGGTCCTTCCCTATTTTCCATTAAAGAAATACCTTTTAAGATACAAGCCCATTTGAGTTAAGCCAAGCCATGTTCAATGGCTCCTAGCTTGGGATCTGATATTTGGAATGGTAGTGGCGGAGGTAGAGTTTGATATTTTGGTGTGGTGGGGGGGCGGGGCGGGGCACAAGCTTAAAATTATGAGATTTTTTCTGTAATCTATGCATATACTCTCTATATATGGTAAAGGAGATGAGAAAATGGAAGGGGGGCCAAGGCCACTTCAGGCCCATGAATAGCTCCGTCCCTATGGAATGGTGTCTATTATATTAGAGACTAATCATGACATATCAGTTTGCAATTGTGTACTCTTCAAACAAGACAGATCTGAGTTTTATATCTTCTCCCTTAGAAACGCAAAATTACAGTAGTTCATGTTAGTTCAATATCAGTCCCCATTGAGTACCCATTTAATAATACCCTATCATTTATGTAATACACTTAAAGCCATCAGTCCCCATTCATATATTACATTTAATATTCACAAGAATGTGCATTTTAATTTAATAATCTGCACTTTTCAAATACGATTTGGGAGGCTGATTTTCATATTATTCTATTGACTATATTTAATTCATCAATGTTATGTAATTGCCTTGAATGAAAACTGAACGCAGCAACCTAATATTTCATATTATCCAAACAACTTTACACAACCCATGCTTGATATCGATATGATCCAAAAATCTTTACACAGCAGATGCATGTTTTGTACTATCATTTTTTTACACACTTGGCCAATGTGTACATATATTTGGCCACTGCTACTTATATTCAAAAGGTTGTCCTAACTCCCCATCATGAAGCACATCCCATGTCTGTTATAATAAGGTGCCAAACCTCTCACAGTAGATTTCCCACATTTTCCCTCATTGCTAATCCACAAAACATGCACAGTTTAGAGAAGAAAAAGTATTCCAACCTCTATTTAGATTTCCAAGTGAGGCAAAGTGTTAACAGATCCATTTACATTACCCACATATCAAAGGGCTTCCAATCCTGCTGCTAAATCTAAGAAACCAGCAACCTGCATTGCGGAGTTCATCTCCATGATCACAATAGCTTGCACCTTTTCAGTGAAAGATGCATCTAGTTCAGCTTTGTGACGCGCCAAACTTCATGTTCCTCCCTAAGTTTTACTTGTTCCTCACCAAGCCTCTGCATTGCCATTTCAGATTATTCATTTGCCCCCGTCTGTTTTTCATTTTGCACCCTTTGCTCCTCAAGTGCTTGTCACTAGGTAAGAACCTCTCTTGATATCCCTCTTTGGTCAGTTATTATCCCAAGGACATCCATCAATGACACTCTGTTGCATTCCTAAGAGGACACAAATTAATGTGCAAACAACCAATTAAAAATACCCGCAAGTGCACGAATCTATCGAAGTATAGATTATGTAAGTACGGGGTCGATCCCACGAAGAACTTGTCGGCTTCCTATAAGTTCTAATTTGAGTACATAAAGAACACTTATTTAACACACCACAAATGCACAAATAAAAGAGGGAAACTAGAAATGAGTAAAGAAGTGTAAAAGAAATGGAACAACACAAGAAAACTAGAGAAAAACACAAACAGCACTTTCTATCGCCATTTTATCACCTGTTTATCACCTGTGAACAGTGCCATGAACAGTGAACAGTGACATAAACAGTGCGGTGAACAGTGAACAGTGACGACCGGTCGCGTGAACAGTGACGACCGGTCGTTTTTCGGCAGAGTCGAAATTTCAATAAACGTGTGATGAGCGACCGGTCGTGAACAGTAACGACCGGTCGTTTTTGGGCAGATTCGTTTCTCTGTTTTTCCAGTTTCGACCTCTGTCCAGTGTTTTGCCTATAACTTTCCAACCGTACGTCGAAAATTCACGTTCTTTATACGGTTGGATTCAGAACAGAAAATGCAAGAACACAACGCGGACCAAAAGTCCAAAACAATTACGGAAACAAATAAATTTCAGTAACAAAGACACACCACGTGTCGAACACACAACTCACACACACATTGAGGGGGGGGGTTTTGATTTGTTTCAAGTGACCTATTTCTATTGCATGAAAGTAAATGGACTTTGAATTTAAATGAGAAAGGCAGAGATGAAATATCAAAGAGTGGAATTAAAAAGTAACAAACACTAGGGTTTCGGAATCCACCCTAAACAATTCTACCCAAGTTCATGAATACTCAAGTGATGAACTCTAAACGTGTTGATGAAAATGTTCGCAATCAAGGCCATGGGTCGTGGCTCAAGACGCATTGATTCTCTCTAATATACGTAAAGTGCATGGTTCGTGCTACAATACTTGTGCCCTCCCCATAACCGAACCTAGGTATGGTTCGTACTTCGATTCAATTACAAGGAGAACCCATTAAGTTCAAAGAGAATATGAACATCACAAGAATCCTAATAGCATGGTGTTTACATTAGGTATTCAAGAAACCAATTCACATGGATGATTCTTACTTCATCCATTTATTGCTTAGGATAACATGAAGATACACATAATCCCAACAATCTCAAGAAGCATACTTTCAAAGATGATCAATCAAAGAAGAACATACATCAAGGATAGATTAATATGGTGAATTGGAATTCATCAACAATATCTAGAAACTCATACACTCAAGTATCAAAACAATAAGGTAATCATGTTTAGGGCTTCAACCTAAGCCCTAGCTAAATAAGAAGTTACATTGAAACTAAGAAATTACAAGAAACAAATAAAATGAAAGAAACTAAGAACAAAGAGGAGAAAGAGAATGCATCTTCAACCCCTTGGATCCTTGCCTCAAGGCTCCCCAAGGTTCTCTCTAATTGTTATGCCATTCTTCCCTCCCCTTAGTTGCTCCTTGCTCTCCTCCTTCTTGCTCTCTAGCTCTCAAAATCTCTGCAAAGTTTGGAATGATAGAATGCATAGGTTACCCACGTTCAAAAGCCTCTCATACTTCAGATTGCATTCCAGAACTGTGGTAACATGATGGATTGGTTGGATAGGCAATACTTGTCCAATGGAGCTCAAATTTGGATATGTTGTAGTTAACATCCATTGGAACAAGTCTCATGAAGATCATGACCTCATCCGAGCACCAGAGCATGTTGATCCCAGGCCAAGAAGTTGACCTACGAAAATGAACAAAAACAGAATTTATAACTAATAATGCACTTTTAGCTCATTTTCATCCCAACCAAGGCAAAATCTAAGAAAACACAAAAAGGAAGTAAAAAGCTATAAAATGTCAAGAACTAACTCAAAATAGT